GTATTATACACAGGTTATTGATGATTAGATTTTTTATGCTTTTTAAGCTAAAAAAAATGATGGTATTATACATGAATAAATACAGTATGTTTGTCATGTGTTTCTGCCAAACCAAACTTGCAACTAAAACTTTCCTTCAAGACGTTTCTCACAGCCTACCTTTTTTTTTCCTACAATCTATCTTAAAAGGAAACTGGATGGTAATGGGAGGAAGTGACTCATGGCATCATTCCTAATAAATCTGACTAAAGAGACAGAACTGAGGTGAAGCGGTGCTGATCCAGCAGCACGGTGCTAAAAACACATCCTCAGCATTTTCAGTGTTTTAGCTTTCCCTCATGGCTCAAATGTCAACACAGTAATTTACTCTCTTAGGTTTAACTTCAAATCTAGCTGCCAAAAAGTAAAGAATGAAGCCAATTAAATGACATTAATACAGCTTTAAATCACTATTTGTTTTTAGCTATATGAAGGTGGTTAAGGTTGTCAAAATGGGACAGAACAATTAGAAACCAGAGATGAACTAAAATACTTTGTCCCTCTTTAGATTCTAAAGAAAGACGTTTATAAGTAACAGCAGCTTATGTTTAGCTTTTAAAAAACAGACTTTGTTTCTTCCAGGTGGCTGAGATTCAGTCCCTGTCCAGTCAGCTGGAGGTCCTGAACCGCTATTTGACCTCTGACCTGCAGCAGTGTAAACAAACACACAGTGAGGCCGTTTCCAAGGCGGCCAAGGACTTGGAGCTCAAACAAAAAGCTCACGATGACCAAGTAGGTTTATTTAAGTGCATGGAAGCCAAACTGTGGGCGGGAACCCCTTTAAAACAAACAAGCTTTATCTGTAGTAACTTGTTATAAAGATATGTTTTTTTTAGGTGGAAAAATTACTGATCGAGCAGAACCAACTGAGAGAGCAGAGGAGACTTCAGGACCTCACACTCGCCCAGAAAGACAAAGAGATTCAGGCGCTGCAGGGAATGCTGCCCAACAGTAAGGTAAAASACCCGCAGAGTCTGTCGGTGCTCTCAGAACACTGATCTGGACAGATGCGTACAGGAGGGYTTCAGCAGCAGGAAGATGCAAAACAGTTTCTTTAAAAGTCAGAAAAAGCTGAAGCATAAATTTCATTTTGTCCGACAGGCCGGTCCTCCGAACACTGGTTCTCTGCAGACGGCGTTCCAGCAGGTCCGACAGCCTGCGGCWAACTTGGCCCACGGCAGCACAGCTGGCGTCAGCAAAGCTCCAACAGTAAGATTTTATTATGTGTCTCACTAATCTCTGCTTGAGTTATCTGTTTGAACCCAGTAGAGCCAGTAAATCATCTGTTTGATAAAATCTTAAATCATTATTGCAAGACTACGAGATCTTCTACTTGTTAAATCTGTGTAAGCTAGGCAACGTTTTGTTACATTTTATTTAATGAAAACTACATAAACTGGTGTAATCCTGTAGATATATTTGTATCTGAGTCAACTTGTAGGATATTCCTCTTTTAATTAGATCAAAACCTTCAAAAAGATTATTCTAGTAACACAATAACCAGGGTTCCTACAGATTRAGGCAAGTTAARTTTTAGACCTTGTAAGATTTTTATTAATGCTACTTGAAATGAAGTTTAAGACCAACTWCACAATAAACACACAAAAAATAAAAATTAGCAACAACTTTACCTAAATGTTTATTTTAACACAGAACTACTACTTGAGACAAAATACAATTCTCCTGCTTACATTGTTAACATTTTTAAGACTTCTGACAGATTGATTTAAGACATTTTAAGGCTTATTTTTGGATTGATGAATTCAGTGCCTTTTAAGACCCCTGATAACTGTTAACATTTTGTCTTTCAGGTGGGATAGATTCGACGWCGAACCCTCCTCCACTTGCAATTTTGGAACGAGTGAACCAACTCCAGCTGTGATCAACATTCTTATAAATAATGTATATAAACAGCACGAGCTGCACGTACAGCAAAAAACAAACATCTTATCCTTTTTTATATGGAGTTTATAAAATAAGCTTTAAAAAGTTTCTGTATTTTTAAGACCAGATGGATGTAAAAAATGTGAGTTACACGGGTGTAAATATTTATTTTCTGTGTCTCACTGCAGTTTCTATAGAGTGGAAAATCAAGTAAAAACAGACTGTGTAATATTATTGTCATCCGTCTCCTTTGCCTTTCTGGCAATGAATGAAAAAACCTAAAAGCACCAAAGATTTAAGACGGAAACTCAAGCTGCAGCTGCTTCTTTTCACTCTTTAAATAGCTGCACTTCAATTTTCCGATGATTCATATGGATTTCTGACGCAGACAGACGTTCATCTAAACATAAACACATCATCAAATCTGCGGGGCGGCTCTTAACACAACAGGTCAAACCCTTTGTGTTTATGATGAGACAAAAACGGGTCAGCACTCTTAACTGCCATCTTTATGGCACTTTTTTACAGTTTTAGTAGCTGTTATAGGAACTGTTCAAACTTTACTGCTTCCTTTTCCTTTCAGAAGCAAAGAAGCACAAACAGTTCTGCAGCTGGTGTCCTTTTTTATGAATATAATGGGTTCATTTTGGTACACATGAAGAGACAAATAAAAACTGATTTTATGTCAGAGAAAATAAATATAGCTCAGTTAAAATCATCTGAAAGGTCCTCTCATCACTACGACTTTTGTAAATGTTGTACACTTTATAAAATAAAATACCAAATTCTTACACACTGCGTTGTTGGAAGTCATTAATGTGGGAACGAAGCCAGCCGAGGTGGGTTTCAAAATAATGTGTGTAATGGAACTAATACTTTTATGTTTAAGCAAGTAATTCATAACATCCTTTAATGACCTAGGTTTTCAAGATATGCTGTTCATCTGCAGACAGAATGATTAAAGTCAGAACAAGATCTGCTAACAATAATCATTCTTAGATATCACTTGTGTTTATCTTTGTGTTTTCCATTGACCTTGTATCAAATCTTGCTAAGATGACATAACGGTCACCCTGCCGACAAYGCCAAAAATCTGTCGTGGCAAGGTTTACCAAGAATGCAGAAACACGTTGGAATAAATGCACAGAAAGTCTGCGTGTATGGTCGTCAATGATTTAGTTCTGAGCGACAACAATGTGCGTGGCCAAGAATGCAGCTTTACAAGCTGTGAACAGGAAATGAATGTTTCAAGTTGTAGTTTGGTTGCAAGAACCAAAATTTTAAGGACATCTTTTCAGTCACTAAGTGAGAGGAGTTTGTGAAAAATATGGTCTGTTGGACTTTAGTGGGAAGAGTTTGTGAAAAATATGATTGGTCTGTTGGACTTTAGTGGGAGGAGTTTGTAACTGGTCAGACTGTTCTGGGTGGGGTTTAAAGAAACCATGATAATTTGGTTGGATGAATGCTGGGCAGTTTGGGGGATGAGTAACAAATCTGCTTCGTCGAAATGACCAGAAAGCACCTACAGTATATAAAAATTGTTAATTTGTAAAATATGAATAGTAATAATAGTGATAACTTGAGACAGGAAGGTGCTAACAACACTAAATTTGATGGCTGTACATGTGGAGGGAGGTGCAAAAAAATTGTCAAAACAGCCTCAACCTGCCTGGAAAAAGATAGCTAATTTTGAATATATATATTATTAGTCATAAATTTAGACAGGAAGAAGCTAGACGCACCAAATGTGAAGTCAATAATACAGGTTCACGATAATTTTACTAATTACCGTTATACACCAACAACATTACATTGGTCCATACTTGTTATTTTTTGATTCCCCCCGCCCCCGACAAGACAATCCAACCACTCATGGCTTTCTCAAACTCCGCCCTCATCAAAGAACTTTCGTTAAGCTCCGCCCACACACACCTTCTTAAAGTGATACTGCAACAGAATGTTTTGAGTCACCTCATCTCCCAACAGTTGTTGGTAAGATATTTCATTAACACGTTAATGTATTACCCAATGAAAACATTTTTATAAAACCATTTTTACCTTGAATTGCTTGAACTAGTTTGAATTTATTTTAATTAATTTTTTTAGTAAATTTATTCCTTTTCATTAAAAACAAATACTGTACACAAATAATACAAATCACAAATAAAATGAAAGTCAGCAGAAAGAAGAAAAAAATCTTATCTGCCCCTTTTTCAAAAAAAAAAAAACAATAACAATTTTCAAAATTGACTTCCTTACATGGCTGAARGGGCTCCAAAATGTTTTACCTGTTTTCTTCAGAAGCCACAAAGAAATTAAACATTTAGATCAGCTCAAACTAAGCCTAGTTGTTTAATTAATCCAACACTAAAAAAAAATCTACCAACATGGAACCAATATTTGATTTAATTTTAGTTTTGCACTCCCTGCAGTGATGGATATTAGCCTAACAGGTGAATGTGTCTGCTGCCTGTGAGCAGGAAATCCTCTGTTTACCATTAGGTGGTTCTGATTCCATGTATAGTCCCAGAGATGAGGAGAGGGTGGTTCCATCTGYGTCAGCTTCACATCTCAGGACAACCACTAATCAAACCCCACAGGAAGCTGACCGACAGGCTCAAGTCCTCGCCATCAGTCAGCTGTAAGCCTAAATTAAAAAACACATGAAAGAACGAGGAGCGTTTACCTCTGCTGAGAACTGAAAGGTTTTATTCTRGTTAATGCCTTGGCTCAGTACGTCAATGCTTCGGGCAGGAAACTGCTTTGATCCAGATCTGAGACAAAAAACAAACAAACAAAAAAGACGCCCATCCAGTTTCAGATGAAACCAAACCTAACGTCACTAATGACCAACAACACAACTGACTGAACTTAACTCCTATTTTCTCCAATAAACATTTATCACGTTGTTATTCCTACCAATAAGTGTCTTAATCAGTCTGAAAATTATTCCACAAATCAAAATAAGTTCTAAAGAGAAATGTTTTTGTCCAATCATCTTGATTCATTTCTTCAAAGCAACTGCAGTCTTTCAAGACTTAATTTTTTTTTACAGTCTAATGTATTGCTCAGGGGTGGGCAACTTAAATAATGGAAGGGGCCACAAGTTTTTGTTGACGTTTCCAGAGGGCCATATCACTGCACACTTACCAAAATGTAGTAAAACTGCAATTAATTTTTTTGGTTCATCAATTGAAATTATAAAAAATTTATGAGTTGGTTAATTCTAAGATTCTATTGATTATAAATAGGGCTCATAAAAATGTTTTGCCTTTGAATATTCAATCTAATTTTGTTAAGAGGGAAAGTTGTTATAATCTGAAAGGAATTGAAATGTTTGTAAAACCTAAAAATCAAACAAATTTGAAGGACAGATGTACCTCAGTTCAAGGAATACGATTGTGAAATAACTTGGCCAGCGATTATAAAAACGCTGATTCAATTTATTTGCTTAGTAGAATGATAAAAGTTCATTTGTTGAATAGATATGAAACTATATAATATGTATTTCTACAAGTTGATGTTTGATTGTTTAATTTTTTTGTTATACTGATAAGGGTGTGAATTTATATACAGTATGTAYGTGTGTATGTCTAATCCTCCTCCTTTCTTACTTTTCTTTAGCTTAAAGCCTTGTCATGTAATGTTGTAAGTTTATGTGCCTGTAAACATCTGGTTTATCAAGATCTCAAACCTAAAGTTTACTGTTCTTTCTGAGTTGTCATATTTACATAAATTAGTACGGACGCGTACGTGATTTTTGTGGATGTTTTAACTCATAAAGTTCTGATTATTCACATTAATTTGTATATAAGTAGTTAATTTTATTCTGTAAATAAATATCATTTATTTTAGAAAACTTGAACTACTGCGTATGGTAAATTATTGTGTGTGTGTGTGTGTGTGTGTGTGTGTGTGTGTGTTTTTCACATTTACACAGAAAGAACTCATGATTTC